AAGGGACTGATGGGAGAGTTTTGGAAAATGTGAAAAAAATTTGAAAAATTTCTTACAAAAATTTCGAAAAATTTTGGTTTTGTGCGATTTTAAACAATTTGCAGCATTTTTTAATTTTTCGAAAATTTTAAAAATTTTCACTAACCGACTACTACCTGAATCGGTCTCTACCACAATGGAACTCTGCCAGACTCGGCCTCGTCTAGCCTCGGTCTCTCTCTCACCAGGTCTCGATTTCTGGCTCAATCCCTACTATGACGGTCTCGGTCTCTGCTTTCACCCGGGCTATGCACAGACGGCTCGTGAGAGATAAGCCATCTAGCAGTCAATCGGGAGACTTGGGTGAGAAAAGGCCGCTGAATTTTGCTTACGAAACATCTTGTTCATGATCGTAAGCTTCTACATGCCATAAATCTATGACTACGACACGCTACTGCCGGCTTTACTTCCCCTCCTAAGGAAGTTGTGGTATGGATTTTTATCACCCTTAAAAATCCATCGACCTTGGCCGGGTCCACTAGTCCACCAAGGGCGACCTTATTATATTATTACTATATTCAAATTCACAAGTTTTGTCATGCTATGTAAATGATAATTTTTTGAACAAGAGTTTTCATGAAGGCCATATGATTTTATTTCTTCTAATTACATTCAAAAACGTTTAGAACACATTCACATATGTAATCTCAACCTTGAAATATAACAGTAACATCCCAACATAAAGTTTCTCTGAAGGACAAGTGGTTTGAAAGGTGAGATGCAAAACATGTAAACATATTCATATACACGTATCTTGCTTTCTATGATGTGTCACCACAAAGCATTCAATGTGCAATATCAAGAAATGTATCTGAAAGACCAAGTTACATTTTCAGTGTACTGTAATTACGGAGTGTCATATAATATAAATGCACAAGGGACTCAGTATCATGGATCTTGTTTTCAAATGTTGTTGAAGAAGATTTCTGTCTTCTGGGTTGTTGCGCTGTGTAGTCTGGTCGATGTTAACCAACGTTTCAGAG